GTATTAAGGGGATCAGGGAGGCATAAGAGAAGGTCACAAACCTTTAAGGGCATAACGGCAGCTATTGGACCTGACGTGTGTGTGTGTGGTGGTGGTGGTAGTGGTGGTGGCGTGTGGGGATAGTGGTGTGTGGTGGTGGGAGTGGTGATGGTGTGTGGTGGTGGGAAAGATTGTGGTTTTAGGAACAGGTAGAGTGGGCTGGTGGTGGTGTGTGGTAGTGGTGGTAGTAGTAGTGGTAGTGTGTGAGTGTGTGGTGGTAGTGGTAGTGCTGGTGGCGGGTCATGACAGCTTCATGACCCGTGGCAGAGGACAGGAAAGGTACCCTCCCTACCTGCCTTTACCTGCACCAGACTAGGTCGTGGCTTTGAGGTGTTTCTGGGTCACGATGAATAAAGTCTAGACCAGTAGTGATGCTCCTCACACTTTCTGGTCTGGTCTGGTCTCTTGACGTAACATTGGGAGCCTTGTGAGGACAGTACTGATGTTGAATATTTACTTTGCCGGGTTGGATAAATCGCCTTAATATGCTTTGCCAGGTGAGGTGATGCAGCTGAGGTACTCAAGTGCTCACCTGCTCTCCTCGACCACTACTGAGCGTCGTTTGATTCACATTAACATTATGCCTCGACGATAAACAACCATTAATATGATAATGATCCACTAGGGGGCGCTGCTAACCTTCACCTTATGGCTGCCTGTCTGTCTGTCTGGTTGGTTGTTTGTGTCTGGTTGGTTGTTTGTGTCTGGCTGGTTGTTTGTGTCTGGCTGGTTGTTTGTTTCTTTCTCTGCTGTATCGCCTAGGTAACAAGATGTGTGTGTGTGTATGTATGTGTGTGTGTGTGTGTGTGTGTGTGTGTGTGTGTCCTCTCTGTCTCTCTGTCTGTCTAGTTCCTCCAACACCATCCTCAACATCTACCTTACAATCTGTCCTCCTCATCCTACTATTACTGTCACCACACCATTGCACCCTTGTTCCCTCACACCCCAGTAACACCTAATCACACACCATGATTAATGACTCATAAGGCAATTATCACCGAATATAATTGGCACCATGATTAATACTGAGGCGAGAAGGAAGGTTATTATTAGTACACACGGGACCGTAATCTGGTAGTCCAATCCAGCGGCCTTAACTATGGTGATTACCCCAGTAGATGACCTGGCTTTAACCCCCCTTTATGTATATAGGGTTAATGATATGGGTTTAAGGATACGGGTTACTGATATGGATTATGGATAGGATTTACATATTATCTTTATTTTTCTTCCTTGTTCTTGTCGTTTATCATCACCACCCTTACTCTCACTCTCTCATCGCTTTCACTCCCTTTCCAAGGCCACCTAGATAGGATGCCTTGCTCTCTCTCTCTCTCTTTCTCTCTCTCTCTCTCCTCCAGCACAACACGGCAATATGGTCGTGTGTAAACTGACGTCTGTACAATATTGGTTCAGTGACTTGGGTTATTAGTCAATGTCCTGAGGTACTGTGTATTATTCCTGCCTCTTCCCCATTACCATCACCACCATCACCACCATCACCACCATCACCACCATCACCACCACCAACTTTACACCTATCTCATCAAAGTAGCGTCTGTGGTCACATCTCACAACGAGGAAGAAACTGCGAGGGAACTGTTCTTATTTACATACAGAGTGTAGTTGTAAGTAAGGTATCCGACGGCCGTATATTATGTAGGGGACGCCCCGAGCCAGAGTCTATAGTGCAGTCAGTTTTCTGGACAGTTTGATGCAGTGGCAGTTTTAGTCTTGAGTGAAATTTTGATATTGTGTAGAAGTGTAAACGTTTAGAGAAGGGAGAGAATAATAATGATAATAATAATAATAATAATGATAATAATAATAATAACAATAATAATAATAATAATAATAATAATAATAATAATAATAAAAATAATAATAATAATAATAGTAATAATAATAATAATAATAATAATAATAATAATAATAATAATAATAATAATAATAATAATAATAATAATAATAATAATAATAATAATAATAATAATAATAATAATAGTAATAATAATAGTAATAATAATAATAATAATAATAATAATAATAATAATAATGTAAGAGTAAGTGAAACGTGGGTGGCATTCACCGTAGACTTTTACGCCTTCCCGGCCGTTCGCTGCAGCGCTCTCTGTCTTCTCGTCGCTACACTATCGTATAGACTAACTTGGTGCTCTTATGAGTTTATAATAATAACTACCACCACCGCTATTACTACTACTACTACTACTACTACTACTACTACTACTACTACTACTACTACTAAACCATATTAACATCTGACGTGATAACAGTTAAAAAATAACTCTAAAGGATAAAAAAAAATCCTAAGTAACATTCACACATTAGAGTTCTCACCCCAGAAACTTGGGAACCAAACCCACTTTCACAGAATGAAATGGTATATGACTCATTTAGTTAAGTGGTCCATTAAAAGAAACCATAAGCAAGTGGTCCATGAAGAGAGGTAACATAAGCACTGAGAAACTGTACCAAAATACTGAAGATTATCCTGAAGGTGGAAGCTTACAAGGTAGCTCTCGGGCCCTCAGGTCACTCAGTAAATTACATTAGCGAAAAACAAGATTCCTCGAGGAAACTGGCTGATAAATATGAACAAAAAATTTAACTAACTTTACGAATGCACTGGAAAGTTAACCTGGCAGTGAGGTGATGTAGGAATGTGGAATGAAAGAAGACAAAAAGAAAAATGTAAAAACTAACTTTAAATTCATTGCTCTGGGAGTTAGCTAATGGTTCAAGAGATAGGAAGATATAGAGTCCACTAAAGGTATTGTTCTATATAATCCCTGGATCATGGGTAAACACTCGTATTTGGTTTGAAATTAAGAAAATCTCACCCAGTCTTTGTAGCTGTGGTGTCACTCATATCAGATAGCCATGAGAGAGAAATCCATGGAACGTGTCCTATATCACATCACAGACTCATCAAGAGGCCTTACAACATACATTCAGAGTAACTTGTTATCGTATTAGAAACAGTGACCAACTAATGACTATATGAATCAGGGTCGTCCAGTTCGTGTGTTGTGAGAGTAAATGGATTGTTCTAAGGCACACAAGCAAGAACCACATAAGCACGAATATACTAACACTGCCGGGGGAAGAAGAGCCACACAACGGGTCGAAATAATGTAACATTCGACTTGAAAAAAAATTCTTGAGAGGAGTACCACAAGGCGTGATCTCAGGATCTACCTTGTTTATATTCCAGATCAAAAATAATATTAACAACACTATTTCAAGCCAAATCATTATAAATAATCACGATACGAATATCTAATAAATATTTTTAGTTAAAATAATTCATTGGAACTTTTCACCCAGGGTAAGAGAAAGAGAATTCTATTGTTTACGTAAAAGACGTCAAAGTCGAGGGAGCATCAATATAAACACACCGAATATAGCGGTTGGAGAAAGGAGGGCTCTAACTCATGCACAATTTAGCGGCAACAGCGTCCGTGTGATCAGGTAGAGGAATATTTAGAGGTTCCTGTATCGATAATAACGGTGACATAATAAAGGCGCCAAGCGTACTCAAAGTCAGGAGTAACTAACATCCGCTTATAAGACTAACATAAACAAACAAGACTCCAAAACTATGTCGCAACTCGCTCCAAAAAAAAGCCAATACTGAGGAGTTCCATGAATTTCAAATTGAACACCTTTACTCTCTGTAGTATTGTCAAAATCTTTCGACCGTTGTTTCATATTGTCTCACACTAGTTTGTATAGATACTTTCTAAATCGAGTTACCTGAGGCCTAGGTGTGTTATTGCCCCCCCCCCCCCACAAGGAGTAGTTATCCTTCACTTAACCTTATTACGGTGTCTTTATTCTACTTACTGGATCACTTTGTGGCACTTCGTAACACTTCACGACAATGAAAACAATGTCGAGACTGTTAGTTTGCTGCCAATAGTGTTTTTTACAACTCAGTAACGCTTCATTAGAGAATTCATCAATCACCAAAGTGTGTGGCCATGTCATCAATCACCAAGAAGCCTGTGAACGTGACGACAGCGGCCTTGGTAGTGACAGAAGGAAGAGGCCGGGTGTATAGTGGCAGTCGTCTCAGCACTGTGAAGCGAGTATTGTTTAGGACATACAGTATGTTGAGACTGAAGCTGGTGCAATGATTCTTTTTTATTATAAGATATGAAGGTAAAATAGTCGTTATTTTATACTTGTGTTGTAATTTTAATGTTTGTTTTAACGTTTGTAATAATATCTATATAATGAATATTTTCCTTTAGTAACGTAACCTTCAGGTGGTCACCGTCTACTGTCTTTAACAATAAGAATAAACCCAGGAAAATAAAGATGATTTTAATATTGATAACATTTATTCATACAGAAATAGTTACTAACATTAAGCTGAGACAAGATAACTACAGCATAATTATTAAAATGTTAAGCTATAAATTATTTATATATGGTGAATAATAATCAGGGATAAGAAATATACAAATATAAACTTTATTTACAGATGTTTATGATGTTACGTTATGTTTATATACAAATATTTATGAAAACATAATATTAATTGTGATAACATAATCTATTTACTAATGACGTCAGAGGCACCAACTGATTAAACCCAATCAGAAGGGGCCTTTAACCCCGGGTGATGACGTCACATATAGGGATAATGGAAGAATATCACAGAGCAATACTGACGCACCATATTACACACACACACACACACACACACACACACACACACAGTGCACCAACACAGAGAAATGGCTCGATACTTCATACAAAAGACCAATTATTAATTACAGGTAAACACATTATAATATCTTGTAAACTTTAAGGTAAGAGAGAGACTCAGTGAGGGAGAAAGAGGTTGTTGTGGTGTGTGTGTGTGTGTGTGTGTGTGTGTGTGTGTGTGTGTAATATTACAGAAAGAGCATCTATATAATATAATCTGAAAAGAGAAGCTTGTGTATTGATTATAATATATTTATATGCAATTAATTTCATATATTCACTAATGCATTCCTCATTAATCTATTTATTTCTCAATATCTCATATATACATAGGTGTGTGTGTCTCACCTTGACAGATGGGAAGGTACTTTAATGACCAGCTGCCAGAGACACAGGTGGTGGTGATGGAGGGGCCGAAGCTGAGGAAGGTGCCGTTACCGTCACAGGTGTACTCGACCACCTGCCCCCACTCCACCAGGCGCCCGCTGTAGTTGCTGCTCGAACTCGGCGGTGCTGCGGGGGGCTCTGAGCTGCACACTGTGAGGAGGGGGTTGTTGTGTAACGTCATAGCTGTTAGTCTATTGGTCATACCTAAAAATTAAACCAAATTATGAGTGAGAAAACTTAAACTAACGGTGCTGGTGATGAGACACTACTGAGAGATGGTCACCTTTGAGACAGGTGAAGGCTGGGTCGAGGGATGGCCAGCCGTCCTCCTGACAGGTGATGGAGATGTTGGTGGCGCCCGTCGGTGACATCCTCGGTGGCGTACATGTATAGGTAAGGGTCGTCCCCACCCAGTAGGGCGGGTCGGGGCCCTCAATGAAGGCGCCCTCAGGAGGTGGTGAGGGAGTCGGGGCAACTAGAGTAAAATAGAAGAGAGTGAACAGATGAATAAGAAACTATCACTCATAACCTGGACATGAGTTTATCTAACCCAGCTGTTTACTCATGAGGTACCTTCTTGTTTCCTCAGGTAGAGTGACTCACCTGTCCTACATAATAGGTAGTCCTGGGAGACGTTGGTCCAGGCGCCGTCCTCCCCACAGGTGATGGTGGCGGAGGCGTTGAGGTCCGGCAACACCTGGCCAGCTGGACACGACAACTCCACCTAGAGTGAGAGTGATGCCTCGGAGATTATCCCTGAATATAACAAGGGATCAGTTTGTCCAGGAAGTAAAACTGTGAAGACAATAAACTCTGGCACTACACTCGATCACCTTCACTTACTCATCGATACACTAAGGTGCCGTAATTCTTCATATTCTTACCATAATTACCCCTCAGGTCACCAATCACTGAGACAACAACAACTTCTCTCACTGACCTGTGTACCGAAGGCCCTGTTATCACCGTCCCAGGAGGTGTTGAGTGGCGCTGGCACTATCATGGGATCCGACTGACATCCTGTGAAACAAACACATATCGCGTCCCATGGTAAAGTTGCTGATATATTAGGATGCCTTGGTAACATAATATAGTGTATAGAAATGAAAATACAAGACCACGTGTATATTAAGTATGATTAATGACAAATAAATATAGAAAGCTTGATTGTATCGTTGTATGGTTAGGATTAGAAGCATAATAACTTAAATAATTGAGAATATCTTAGGAGTTAAGTCATCGTAATCGAGAGGTTAAGTCATCGTACTCGAGGGGTTAAGTCATCGAACTTTAGAGGTTCAGTAATCGGACTCAAAGGTACATTAACGAAAGGGTAAGTTAAATAAAGGGTAAAGTAAGTTATATTAGATAAGTTAATTAGTTACGTTAAAAGATCATGTAAGTTATATGAGTTACGTTCCGAGTATTACTGACTGGCCAACACTCACCGTTAACACAGGCGTAGGCTGGGTCGAGGGGTGGCCAGCCGCCCTCCTGACAGGTGATAGAGGTGCTGGTGTTGCCAGTCGGTGAGTTGAGAGGCGGAGTACACGTGTAGGTGATGGTCGTCCCCACCCAGTAAGGAGGCTCAGGGCCAGCTATGAAGGCGCCCTCAGGGACAGCTGGGGGGTCCATAGGTGCAGCTTGGAGAGACAGAGAGATAGAGAGAGACTATACGATAATATATAAAGATAAGATGACTGATTTTGTAGTTTATTTACGCCATTAAGCACGTGATTGGTAGAAGCTTGTTTACACGTGTGGTATATTATTATTATGGTGACACTTGGAGTCTACAGTGCTCACTCCTCTACTTGTCTTACATAACAACACCTTGGTGCCACTTTCTCAATTACAAGCAGTTATCATCACAATTATCAAGCGTGCGAGAAGGTATACAGTGACTCACAGTGACTCATAGTGACTCACGTGTCCTACATAACAGATAGTCTTGGGAGACGGTGGTCCAGACGCCGCCATTAACACAGGTGATGGTGGTGGAGGTGTTGAGGTCTGGTAACACCTGGCCAGCTGGACACGCCAACTCTACCTGTAAATGCGATTCACCTTATAGGGATCCACCTTCTTTCCTTATATCTACCTGAGGTATATTAAGTGACTATATCCTTATGAAAAGTCTATAAGTATCGTAAATATAAGTGTATAGCAAAATATACCATTTGATTTACTTTACAGCAGCCAATGAGACGAAGCAAGACAGATTAGTATACCAAGGTACAGGTGAGTCCCCATCACTCACCTGCGTCCCGAGGGTCCTGTTGAAGCCGTCCCAGGAGGAGTTGAGTGGCGCCTCTACCATCATGGGATCCTCCACACACACTGAGGACCCAGACACACACACACATAGACACTCCTGATACTCCTACTTCTGTGGTTCCTACACTCCTCATCGTAGTATCCTGACTACAAGAAATAACTAAACTCTTGTGATGAAGAAAGTGATGGGGGTTATAACAACGTTTTATTATAGGATTATTGATAAATACAGGTAATAGAAGTATAATTATATATCCTTAATATTATAGGTATATAAGGCTGAAGGTTATATAACTAGACACAAAAACAATGCTCTTGATACCTCTTAACCAATTATACGGATATAATTACTAATACTATAATTCCTATATGTATTTTAGACCTATAATCTACATATAATAACCCGATACTAATAACACAGTGTTCCGTGTTCCACTAGAGAGAGAGACAGAGATGAAGAAGCAGTAACAGTAGTAATGTTCCGTATACACCTGAGACACAATACTCACACTGGACACACATTAGCGGTGGGCCAATTAGTTCCCAGGTAGAGTTCTCGCTACACCTCACCTTCGTCAGGTTAATCACCTCCGGGTACACCTGTTAGAAGATAAGATAATTAGGTGAGTTATATCTACTGTTTCTGTTGTCCTGTTGAGTGTTTCTGTTGTTGAGTGTTTCTATTGAGTGTTTCTGTTGAGTGTTTACAGTCAAGAGGATAATATAGGTATAATATTTAATAAAATAAGATAATGAGAGCTAATGTGAGTTAGTGAGAGAGTGTACAATATTATCTCACCTCAGATGTCGGTATAAACAACCCGGGTAGGCAAGTGTAGTTGACCTCTACCCCAACACCATTCCAGATCAGGTCATCCCGGGTCATGTTAGTAACGGGGGGTTGGAGAAGGTCATCTACACAACCTGGAAGAAACGAGACTTGATTTCCTCTATTATATTTCCGGGTTATAGTTTGTTAAGTGATAATATGGAGGTATTTGGTCGATTTTTTTAATCGCTATTTATATTGGACCACATGAAGAATAGGCACCCTAGTTTATTATACCTGATTATTAACAACCCTAATATTAATGTACTGTAACCTAACCTAACCTAACCCATCCAGGTGTCTAAACTTCAGGTGATCAAATTTGTCTCATTAGTCAATACGTAAAGGTATGAAATATTTATACAAGTACATAACAAAGACAAATATTATGACCATCTCACCTGGATAACACGGTTCAGGTGTCTGCCAGCCTTGATTAGTACAGGTGAGGGTGTAGTTAGTGGCAGACAGGTTAAACACGTGACGGTCGAAACAGGTAGCAGTCACTGTCATGTTTACCGTCCAGGAGGTGGTGTTGATCCAGTCTGTCACGCTGTTGTTTACTCCAGGCTGCCCGACACACACTGACAGGTAGACAGACAGGTAGACAGGTAGGTATCTATATCAGTTGTCATTATAATAATATAATATATTCATATCATTTATAATTCTCACTTCACACACACACACACACACACACACACACACACACACACATACACACACATACACACACACACACACACACACACACACACACATACATACACACACACACACACACACACACACACACACACACACATACACACACACACACACACACACACACACACACACACACACATATACACACTATATTAGGAGAGATAGCCTAGAGACAGACAGACAGACAGACAGACAGACAGACAGACAGACAGACAGACAAACAGACAAACATTAACATCCTCAGCTTACCATCACAAGGTAGTATCTCCATGGGGTAAAATCCATAACCTGTTCCATTATATTGACAGGTAATCATCTGAGTGGTGTTCCCGTCTAGTGTGGTCATCAAGGTCGGACAGGTGAAGTTGACGGTGCCGTTCAGGTGATGGAGGTGAACGGCGGAGGTGTTGGTGATGAGGGAGGAAGGTGGTTTAGGTACATCTCCCTCACATACTGTTGGAGGAAGCCAGAAAGTTGCTTTGTTTATGAGTCTTTATGTTAGGTTAGGTTAGGTTATGTTAGGTTAAGTTAGGTTAGGTTAAGTTAGGTTAAGTTAGGTTAAGTTAGGTTAGGTTAGGTTAAGTTAGGTTAGGTTAGGTTAAGTTAGGTTAGGTTAGTCCCAATGGCCCCCAACTTGTTCTAAATGAGCCATTAATATTGAGGCTCGATTTAAAAGGGCCCCAAGGTCTTTGTAGACATTTATGGAGAGTAGAGACAGACAGACACTGACCATCAACAGGTAGACAGCTAGACACCTGGCTGGGATACCATCCACCCAGGACCCCGATACACTCCACCTTCTCCTCCCCTAGGCTCACGTTCCCCTCCATGAAGTAACCCGGATAACACCTGTAAACAACACGTAAATAACACAGTAACACTTCCACAGTAACGTTTGTAAATGAGTAAACATCTGTAACAAGTATCAATAACGTAACATAACGCGAGGATATTGTTTATTTATTTGTAGTTAAAAAGTTTATATTCTGTAACATTTTAAGAGTAGTGTTTACATATACGTGGTTCGTAATGTTTATTGTTGTTATATAGGTAATGAGTCACCTGTAATTAACGACGGAGGCCAAGGCGGTGTTATTGTCCCATATACGAGTCATGTTATCCATCTCCTGCGGGGGGTCACCTGTACACCCTGAAAGACACACCTGAGTCACCACACCTGGTTGGTAATATCTAAACGACTGAGGTTTATTAATTTATGGTGTTTATATTTTATTGTTATGTTGATGATGTTAGGATAATTTTGTGTTTATTTGAATAATTTTTTAAGGAGTGAGTTTGACAGACAGACACTCACCCAGAGGACCATGTAGCTGACAGATGGCCCAGGTGGCTCCTCCCCCAGCGAGAGTAGCGGGGGTGAGGTTGTAGCTGCTAGTGGAGACGTCGACGGTGAGGAGCCTCCAGTGTGTGTCAGGAGGGGATGTGTCCGCTATCTGGAGCACCTCTGCGTCAGGAGCATAAAGGCCCCCGCGTGTCCACTCACCAGTCCTGTAGTGATGAAAGTGTGTGTATGAGAGCTTTAAGGACTCACTAATCAAACACCTAAGTTAATTAACACAGAAGAAGAGACAGGTAACTACACAGGTAACTACACTCACGCGTCATTTAGACCAATCATAGCCGTCTTTTGATTGGTGTTGACGTCGATGACTTCCTCCTGTAGAAGATAAAAGAGAAGAGAGGGACAATAACACCTCCTCCTCCTCTCCCAGACACTCTCCTGACAGCCTGAATTACTGAGACTCACATGACAGCCAAACTTAACTAAAAATGAGATAAGATATCACTATTATCCCCTTATGTCAACCTGAACGTAAAATAACTATTGTCCTATACTTAAAACTATAAAAAATAACTATTTTTCCTCATAAATTCAAGAACCAATACGTTAAATGACACACAGACAATCATACAACCCAGAAAACTTATAACTAACAGGTAAGCACTGCGACAGGTGCACTATAAACCTGGAATATCACACAAATGAAAGAAAATCCTCAAAGTGACTTCCATCTCACCATGATCATATTAGTGAGGAACATCAAGGCGTCCAAGGTCTCAGGATAAGTCAGAGCTGCCCCATCGTTCTCACACAGGGCCAGAGCCTCGGTGAAGTTATTGACGTGATTCACCAACCTGTAGCAGAAGCCCTTGTGGCGTCTGTAGTCCTCGGGGCACCACTCTGTTAGGGGATGTTGATGTCTTAAAGGGGTGTTGATGTCTTAAGGGGTGTTGATGTCTTAAAGGGGTGTTGATGTCTTAAGGGAGTGTTGATGTCTTAAAGGGGTGTTGATGTCTTAAAGGGGTGTTGATGTCTTAAGGGGTGTTGATGTCTTAAATGTTGATGTTCAAAGGGGTGTTGATGTCTTAAAGGGGTGTTGATGTCTTAAAGGGATGTTGATGTCTTAAGGGGTGTTGATGTCTTAAGGGTGTTGATGTCTTAAGGGGTGTTGATGTCTTAAAGGGGTGTTGATGTCTTAAGGGGGTGTTGATGTCTTAAGGGGTGTTGATGTCTTAAGGGGGTGTTGATGTCTTAGTGTGATAATAAATACTGTTTTAACTCTGATTCATTAGGGGTACTTTGTCTCTCGTCATTATTTACTCACTAAATACAGCGGGTTAGTTTATCGTACTCAACGAGGTTAACTTATAATACTCAAGGGGGTTAGTTTATCGTACTCAGGGGGGGGTTAGCTCAATGTACTCAAAGGGTTAACTTATCGTACTCAAGGGGGAGATTAACTTACGTGGCACCATACACATGTAATGGGTGGTCGGGTCTTCACAGTCCTGAGCTCTGAACAAGATATTTTTCCCCACAGTCACACACTCAGCCTCGTCCCTCACCTGTAATTATAAGATACAGGTCAATACTAATTCACAGGTAAATAATTTGAAAGGTTTACCTGTAGATTAATCTCCAATCCCATAGTTTATTTCACCTAATGATTAAAATGCCTTAATCCTACCTGTGGGATTAGGTTAGGTTAGGTTAGGTTCGGTTAGGAGGATGTCAGGAATGTGTCAGGAGGGTGTCAGGAGGGTGTCAAAAGGACGTAGAGAAAGTGTCAGAAGGATGTCAGGAGGGTGTCAGGAGAGTATCAGAAGGGTGTCAGAAAATTATCAGAAGGGTATCTGCAGTGTGTCAGGAGGGGGTCAGGGGGGGGGGTGTCTGGAGGATGTCAGGAGGGTGTCAGGAAGGTGTCAGATAGTACTTACGTCACAGTCAGTGTTGCAGGTGATGGTGTCAGGCAGCTTAGGGATCACAGTGGTGTTACCTCGCCTGTGTGACAACAGTGTGTGGTTACTAGAACGAGCCTGGCACTAGCAAATAGATCGTGGGTTAACTTGACGTTTCCTAGCACGAGCAACTAGACGTAAGATGTACCAGCTACTAGATTATATAATTCTAATAGAAGATTTTTTTTGCTAGCAAGATCCCTATGTGATAAATTAAAAGATTAACATATTTGATAACCTGATACTAGCAACTAACTTCTATAGAATCATAATATATAACAAGCAAGGTTTACACTAGCAACTGAGCTATATAATACTTGCCTACTAGCCACGTTTCTACTAGGAGATACAAGGGGGTATTTAGACAGGAGAAATTAACATACCTGGTGTGCGCTGTATAGTAGAAGTTACCTTGAAGGGCAAAGGCGAGGTCAGATGGCTCTCTCAACACGGCCAGAGACGCTCCTACCTGACCACACCTGTCACACATACATAGATACATACATTGATACATAGATACATACATTGATACATAGATACATACAAACATACATACACACACACGTCAACACAAAGACAATCAGTACTATAAAAAAATCCTATTTAACACTAAGTTATGACTATCTGAACATCTGACTGTCTGAACATGTTACTATCTAAATATCTGACTGCAGTAACACCTATATACAACTCAAATAACAATAATATTTATGTGAAATTATAACACAAAATTACGACACAATATTCAGTCAAAAAGGTCAAATGGATTCCTACTTCTTGCCATAAAACTCAGTCAATTCAGTCAGCAGGGCACTTACTTCTGGGCAGCTCCAGCAAGACCGAATTCAGTCGGTGAGTCAGAGAAACTGAAGCAGGTTGTACTGTCATTATTCAGCACAAAGCCAAGTGGGCAGTTAGCTGAAGGGGGGGGGAGGTGTTATAAGCACAAATTTGTTCATTGTTCTGGTATAAATTGTGTTCTTTGTTCTGCTGACGAGTGGATGAGAATAACTTTAAACACACCTGAATGAAAATAACATTTAACACACCTGATAACGAATGAATTAACATCACTCACGTTTACAAGGCAGAGTAAGTGTATAATTCCATCTTGGTGACCCTCCTTGAATGGGGTCACCCTCGAGGCATTCTACCACTCCACTTTTGGTCAGTTCTCCGTCAGGCTGCCCCTCCAGCATGTTATCACCAATACAGCGATAGTGTACAAGGGCGCCTGGTCTACGGTCCGCTACCACCTCCAGGTAGGTAGTACTCCACCAGTCTTTCATGGGGATAATTGGACAAGCGACCTCTGATAGGGAGAGAGATGAGTGTAGGTGAGAGAGGGTAGTGGAGAGAGGAGTGTTGGTGAGTAGGGGTGCTGGAGAGAGAGTAGGAGTGTTGGAGAAAGAGAGTAGGGGTGCTGGAGAAAGAGGGTTGGGGTGCTGGAGAGAGAGTAGGAGTGTTGGAGAGGGAGTATGGGTGTTGGAGAGAGAGGGTAGGGGTGCTGGAGAGAGAGTAGGGAGTGTTGGAGAGAGAGTATGGGTGTTGGGAGAGAGTAGGAGTGTTGGAGAGAGAGTAGGGTGTTGGAGAGAGAGTAGGAGTGTTGAGAGAGAGAGATATGGGTGTTGGAGAGAGAGTAGGAGTGTTGGAGAGAGAGTAGGAGTGTTGGAGAGAGAGTAGGAGTGTTGGAGAGAGAGTATGAGCGTTGGAGAGAGAGTAGGAGTGTTGGGGAGAGAGTATGGGTGTTGGAGAGAGAGGGTAGGGGTGCTGAAGAGAGAGTAGGAGTGTTGGAGAGAGAGTATGGGTGTTGGAGAGAGAGTAATGGAAAACTGTAGAAGAGAAAATGAAAATGAGGAAATAAGAAAAGTTTAAAGAAGAAAACTAATGAAAAATCGATTAAAATACGAAAATGTAGAGAAAATTAAGAAAAAAGAAATAATTTCCTTTGTTATTGCAATCTCTCTCTCTCTCTCTCTCTTCTACGCGTACCTGTTTCTATTAACAAGCACCATCACCTGTTCTTACCTGTGTCATAGGCCAGTGGGCGTGTTCTTATCACTATACTGTCCACCTGCGTCCTGTTCCACTGTATACCAAGAGCTGTGGGGAACGGCTGAGGAGAGAGAGAGAGAATGATTTAATCCTTGACCACCGGACCTTAAAACCTTGTGTTAAGAGGGAGAGTTTCGTCTGTGTATATGTATATGCATGTATGTGTGGTGTATGTGTATGTATGTGTATATGTATGTGCATGTATGTGTGGTGTATGTGTATGTATATGAGCAAGAATAGGGTTAAATATATGATTAAAATAAGACATTCAATACACTTCAAAGGAGACCATCCCCAGTGCTAAGTGATCTGGCCTCCCTCAGGGTAGTGAACGTACCAGTCCATACTCTGTGTAGAGAGTTTTGTAGAGGCTAGAGTCAGAAGGCAACCACCAGTACTTCATGCCTTGTTCAGTGAAGTTGTTTCCTACGTTCAGTTCCAGAAATTGTCCTGTTGAGAGAGAGTTTTTAATGTGTCATCACCATCATCATCATCATCATCAATCATCAATCATCATCATCATCATCATCATCATCATCATCATCTTACCAGCATCACCGTAGTAATTGCCAAGCATCAGGAGCGTATACAGGTCATCTTGCTGGATCTGAAAGGTGTCGTAACTGGCTCGTAGTAGTTGACCATCTGGCTTCCCTATCAAGACCTGTAAGCGAGACAGTACGTGTTTTATTCTGGTTGACGAGTACTGGGGGGGGGGGAACTCGTATGGAAGTGAATGAAGAATTATTGAGTTTTATTTGTAGTTTTATATGTGGAGACGAGTAGTGGATATATTTGTCTTCTGCCAGCCAATGTGACGTGTTAGTGAATATAGTGACCCCAGTAATGACCCCCAGATGTGACCCCAGAGATGACCCCCACCCCAGATGTGACCTCAGCAATGACCCCAACAAAGAACCCAGCAATGACTCCAACAGAGTGACCCCTAGACCATACAATACCTCTACAATCAATGGTCGAGTAGTACCATTGCTCTCCCAGTTCCAGGCAGACAGAGCTTTCAGTCCTGCAGGTAAGGGAAGGAGATACAGTGAACCAGGTGTGCGCAGGTGAAGGTAAGGGTCACACAGGTGTTAATGACTTGCACACTAACCCAAGAGGCAGGTGTGTCAGGGTGGGAGTATTGTAGTCATGAAGGTTACTTATACATATATACATTCATAAACTCATATACATCACAAACAAAAATACACTCATACACACATCTACATACACAAACCTACACACACACACACACACATCTTACCTACAAAATAACTGGGTTTGTCGTTCGGTCCACCAAGATTCACTTCACCTAATGGAGTTAAGTGTTGCTCATAAGTAAGTGACTTGAAGGTATATTTCATATAGTAATTCCTGAGAACAGTTGTCCACCCTGTGTCTCCCGCTACAGTACTGTCCTCCAGGTCACACCACACCTATACAAATATCTGTTGTTAATTAAGTGTCTGGTAATATTACACCTGTATTAACAGTTTGGTTTAGGTTAGTTGAGGTTAGTTGAATAATTTATAAGAGAATGCATGAAATCTAATGTACACACACACACCTGTAGAGAAGTGTCGTGCAGGTAACCGGAAGGGATGACGATGTAGACGCCAGACTGGTTAAAACCCATCTTGGCTATATCACTGCAGTCTCGCGGGGACTCGCACCCTGAAATACCACCACTAAGTTAAACACTGCACTACATACATTACATTGTTACGACCGTGTCGTATTTTTCTATTATTTTTTATATTATGCTTCCATGTTGTTCCATATTATTCCATATTATTCCTGTAATGATGTGTTATATTTACTTTTATATAATCTAGTCACCTCACCCTGTGCTGTTAAGGTTTTAACTGTTATTATTTGTTCAAACCCATCTTATATCTTTATTTAGTATTGTAACAAGCATTCTTTGTTTCTCTAACGACCATCTGCATCGTTAAACGACCCATGTTTCACAGGCATGTCGCACTGGCGCCAGCCGACCCTATATATAGTACCCCACCAGCAGACGAAGTTCAGTCCAGTCCTCTTTGTCATTCAGTTCACGTTCTTTTGAGTGACACCCGTCACCTGTTACTTATACTTTATTTTATTTCTGTGTTGTTCCTGTCGCCACCAATGTGGTATATCTATGTGAGTACCTATTTATGTCTCTTTTGTGTCCATCAGTGTTTGCTTAGTTACATTTAAGTAATTCAGTGTTGCTTCACGTTAGTTAATTTCAGTGTTAGTTTTTATATGTTTATGCAGTGTTAACGTAATCCAGTGCTTTATTTATATTCTTTATATTTAAGCAGTTCCTTTGATGTTTCGATGTTTAGTATCATTTGTGTCTTAAAAGCTTCGATAGTGAATCAATTTGTTGTGACAGCCTACGAGGCTCTTTATTGTGTTAATATTTAATTTAATTAAATTCTGAAAGGTTTACTTTATTTATTTTTATTCCCTTTTGATTTACTTCACTTTTTTTGTTTGGTTACGCCGAGAACCTGGATATTAAAGTAAATTAAGAGACGGCATAACAACATACATACAGTAACTATTGTGTTAACTCGCCTCTAGAATTAGGTTAGGTTAGTCTACTTCTCAGGGCACAAAGAGGGATCCAAACCCCTTCACAACGGTCTGGAATCGATCCCACGACCATTCGTATACAAAGCTGACACTCTGTTAATTGAGCCACAGAGCTACACACGCACACACACACACACACACACACACACACACATTCTAGATGTTTGAAGGAAAGGAGGCTGAAGAGGAGGAGGACGAGGGGGAGGATGAGGAGGATGAGGATGAAGAAAAGGAGGATAAGGAGTTTGAGGAGTTGATGAGTCTTAACTCCCTACCTCCACTACACATATCCAGTATGGGCGTCCAGCTGCCGTCGACACAATGAGTGAGTCTTCCTTCCTCCCGAGACAGCCAGGCCATCCCCTCCTCACACACATAGTACACCCCAAAGACCTGATCCTTGACGTCTTTGAAGGTGAGATAGACGGTGGTATTTGGAGGCACCGGTATTGACATTTGGTCACATACCGTCACCTCTGTCTTAGCTGCAACACAGAAATTACAACAGATATATTTAATTCCAATGTCATACAATTTGGTTATCTAGACATGTAAGATAACTCTATGATATCTGGTTAGTGAAAATAACACATAAAATAACTATAACTTTTATATACAACAAAGGCAATAAAAGTAGGTAGGCTCGTTCTTAACTCTGCATGTTAATTCATTCCACACTCACTTTGTCGAGTTAATGAACAACGTGTACAACTGACAGCAAACTTTTTACTTGTTATTCATTTGTTGAGTTTAAATACCAAGTCAAATTAAATTACCACGGAATAAATTTACCTGTAGGTTAGGTTAGGTGAGAGTTAGGTTATGAGTTGACGTGACGACACAAGATATCAAGAAGCAACAGAGAGAGAAATGTGGACAGGTGTTATAGTCTTATTTCACCTGTGATTGGCTGGCAGGAGGTGGTGGAGTGTTGCCATTGGTCACCTTCACAGCGAGCCAATAGGACACGTTCACCCCCGTCCCAGGTAGACGTCAGGCTGGCATTACACGTGAGACCTTTGATGTCACCAGGTAGATCTGTCACCCCCTCTGAGGATGGGTGACGTCCTGGACACAATGCATCACTGGACGTCACTGTGGAGGAACCAAAGTCTTAACACAGGTTAGGTTAGGTTAGGTTAGGTTAGGTTAGCATGTCCAAGGAACGTTAAATGACCCTTCGTCCTTAGGATTCATGTACATTAAGACTGAGAGACATTTTTCCAGTCATTGATTAGAAAATGAAGGTGTGTGTGGGGGGGGGGGGTGTCCCATATTACACCTTTGTGGTGGCTGTATGGTGTATGTTGTGTAGTGTGTATGGTGTATGTTGTGTAGTGTGTATGGTGTATGTTGTGTAGTGTGTATGGTGTATGTTGTGTAGTGTGTATGGTGTATATTGTATAGTGTGTATGGTGTATATTGTTGTAGCCGTCACCATAGCGAGTATGCTGTATATTTTCCACTTTCTAAATTCAATATGAAATCTGGAACAAAATCCTTGACGTGTAAAGAGAAATCCTTTATTATTATAGGTCACTTTTCTACCCGCCCCGCCCGTCCCCGCCCCGTCCCGCCCCGCCCCGCCCGTCCCCGCCCCACCACACGCGCCACCGTCAACACCTAGTAATTTAAGTGATATATTCACTTTGCTTTACACATCTGTCACTTTGATTACTGACGTGATAACTTAAGTGTAGTGTACACTTTTAGGTACCAAGGATCGAAGCGACATCCCCGGCTTAATTTAATCTAACCTAATCTAACTAAAACTAACTTAACCTAAATTGACCTAATCTAACCTAACGTAACCTTACCTAACCTAACTTTAACTTAACATAATTTGACCTAACCTAATCTAACCTAACTTAATATAAACCTGAGCTAACCAAACTTAATCTAACCTACGTTAAATTAACTTAACGTGACCTAACCTAATTTAAAAGCATACTGTAGTTAACTAGGACTGGGTGGTCATACATCAAGGTAAGTGGTATGGTGATAAAGGGTTATTCTTACCATCACTGATTAAGGGCATACACGGGTCTTCTACTGAGTGAACAACGGGGCATTGAAGGCATCTATCACAAACAGGGTAAGAACGGACATAAGACTATGCTATACAACCACCCTAGGGCATTACCCCCCTTGCAGGTGAGATACGGTTGACAGGTAATTTTGTGTTAATTTGCGATACATTTTGATTGGTTGGTTGATAGAAAATATTAACTATAATGCAACAGAATTCCTAACCTAAATATACATATACATATATACGTATATACATATTCATAGTGTCACGAAGAGGTTTGACGAATGAGGCGTAGACCGTTAGTTAAAGGTTTAATATTAAACTCGTAAAGGTATAATTAAGGCGAAGTATAATAAGCAAAGGTAAATATGCACCAAGAACTCCTTAATTATACTTAATACTAATTTATAAGGCACAGGTGAG